AAAATTTGGAAATTTTGTAGATCGTAAGTTTTGGCTCTTGCGTCTCAAAAGGTAGCCGACCCCTGCCCTAGATAATAGTAAATCAATGAGTAAAAAAACATTTCTGTTTATTTTCAAGATTGTTGTTAAAATTGTAAACATTTACTTACTAATAATTTGTCCTAACAGTAGCAGTTTTTATTTCAGTCGTTTTGGCGTGATGATTATAGTAGTAGATCTAGATACATCTTTTATATTCAACTAAACCAGTGGTTTTTAAGTTAGTCACGTTCATTAGGTTACATAAGAGATTTCAAAATGTGTGTATTCATTAATGCCGACCTCCAAGAAGACTTACAAACCATTTAAAAAAAAAAATATGTAGGCTAGTTTTTTTGTGTGGTATTTTTGTTATAAACTTTAAAATACACACGTATAAAACTAGCACTACATAATCAACACGCTGTACAACTAATCAGCAACACTTTAGATTAGTTAGTCATTAACTAACCCTCGTGGAGCATTCGTCGGGTTGCATTTTGAGCAGAGCATACTTACAGGGTCATAGCGTCCTACCAATTATGCGTGGTGTGCTTTACATTACAAGCCTCAACGCCGCACTGGCACTCTTTAGCATCAACAAGACTTACCGCCGCGCAGAGTACTGATCGCATATAGTAAAGCCTTAACGCCGCACCGGCACTCTACTCGCATCAACAAGTCTTACCGCCGCGCAGAGTACTGATTGCATGTAAAGCCTTAACGCCGCACCGGCACTCTACTCGCATCAACAAGTCTTATCGCCGCGCAGAGTACTGATCGCATGTAGTAAAGCCTTAACGCCGCACCGGCACTCTACTCGCATCAACAAGTCTTACCGCCGCGCAGAGTACTGATCGCATGTAGTAAAGCCTTAACGCCGCACCGGCACTCTTTAGCATCAACAAGTCTTACCGCCGCGCAGAGTACTGATCGCATATAGTAAAGCCTTAACGCCGCACCGGCACTCTACTCGCATCAACAAGTCTTACCGCCGCGCAGAGTACGATCGCATGTAGTAAAGCCTTAACGCCGCACTAGCACTCTTTAGCATCAACAAGTCTTACCGCCGCGCAGAGTACTGATCGCATATAGTAAAGCCTTAACGCCGCACCGGCACTCTACTCGCATCAACAAGTCTTACCGCCGCGCAGAGTACTGATCGCATGTAGTAAAGCCTTAACGCCGCACTGGCACTCTACTCGCATCAACAAGTCTTATCGCCGCGCAGAGTACTGATTGCATGTAAAGCCTTAACGCCGCACCGGCACTCTACTCGCATCAACAAGTCTTACCGCCGCGCAGAGTACTGATCGCATGTAGTAAAGCCTTAACGCCGCACCGGCACTCTACTCGCATCAACAAGTCTTACCGCCGCGCAGAGTACTGATCGCATGTAGTAAAGCCTTAACGCCGCACCGGCACTCTACTCGCATCAACAAGTCTTATCGCCGCGCCAGAGTACTGATTGCATGTAAAGCCTTAACGCCGCACCGGCACTCTACTCGCATCAACAAGTCTTATCGCCGCGCCAGAGTACTGATTGCATGTAAAGCCTTAACGCCGCACCGGCACTCTACTCGCATCAACAAGTCTTATCGCCGCGCCAGAGTACTGATTGCATGTAAAGCCTTAACGCCGCACCGGCACTCTACTCGCATCAACAAGTCTTATCGCCGCGCCAGAGTACTGATTGCATGTAAAGCCTTAACGCCGCACCGGCACTCTACTCGCATCAACAAGTCTTACCGCCGCGCAGAGTACTGATCGCATGTAGTAAAGCCTTAACGCCGCACCGGCACTCTTTAGCATCAATAAGTCTTACCGCCGCGCCAAGTACTCGTACTTACGGTACTTTTAACGAGTCGTAGACTGGTCAATAGAGTGCTGTTATGAGTCGAAGGCTGGTACTTACGGTACTTTTAACGAGTCGTAAGCTGGTCAATAGAGTGCTGTTATGAGTCGAAGGCTGGTACTTACGGTACTTTTAACGAGTCGTAAGCTGGTCAATAGAGTGCTGTTATGAGTCGAAGGCTGGTACTTACGGTACTTTTAACGAGTCGTAGACTGGTCAATAGAGTGCTGTTATGAGTCGAAGGCTGGTACTTACGGTACTTTTAACGAGTCGTAAGCTGGTCAATAGAGTGCTGTTATGAGTCGAAGGCTGGTACTTACGGTACTTTTAACGAGTCGTAGACTGGTCAATAGAGTGCTGTTATGAGTCGAAGGCTGGTACTTACGGTACTTTTAACGAGTCGTAAGCTGGTCAATAGAGTGCTGTTATGAGTCGAAGGCTGGTACTTACGGTACTTTTAACGAGTCGTAAGCTGGTCAATAGAGTGCTGTTATGAGTCGAAGGCTGGTACTTACGGTACTTTTAACGAGTCGTAAGCTGGTCAATAGAGTGCTGTTATGAGTCGAAGGCTGGTACTTACGGTACTTTTAACGAGTCGTAGACTGGTCAATAGAGTGCTGTTATGAGTCGAAGGCTGGTACTTACGGTACTTTTAACGAGTCGTAAGCTGGTCAATAGAGTGCTGTTATGAGTCGAAGGCTGGTACTTACGGTACTTTTAACGAGTCGTAAGCTGGTCAATAGAGTGCTGTTATGAGTCGAAGGCTGGTACTTACGGTACTTTTAACGAGTCGTAAGCTGGTCAATAGAGTGCTGTTATGAGTCGAAGGCTGGTACTTACGGTACTTTTAACGAGTCGTAGACTGGTCAATAGTGCTGTTATGAGTCGAAGGCTGGTACTTACGGTACTTTTAACGAGTCGTAGACTGGTCAATAGAGTGCTGTTATGAGTCGAAGGCTGGTACTTACGGTACTTTTAACGAGTCGTAAGCTGGTCAATAGAGTGCTGTTATGAGTCGAAGGCTGGTACTTACGGTACTTTTAACGAGTCGTAAGCTGGTCAATAGAGTGCTGTTATGAGTCGAAGGCTGGTACTTACGGTACTTTTAACGAGTCGTAGACTGGTCAATAGAGTGCTGTTATGAGTCGAAGTCTGGTACTTACACTTACAGTATATAAACTGATTAGTATGCGCCAATTCCCTGTATTATGCAGTTAAATGCGCGCAGACTGTACAGTGAGCCGTTCACATATCAGGAATACTGCGTGTGGATCGTAGTCTTTGTGTAAGTGCCGATTGTCTACAAAGTTCGCGGATGTCCTAGAAGACTCAAAAATAAATATTTTGTTGTTTTTTTCACACGCGCAAACTTGTGAAATTAATTTCACACACTTTTTGTGTATATGTTTCAAATTTGAACCTTAATTCGAGATTCAATGACTTTGCAATGTGATTTGAACTTTTAGATAATTAATTTTTTAGTTTGCTAAATTAAATTAAAGATAGCTATATGAAATACTAATCATTACGCGCAGATTACACAGAATTTGTTGCGTTCATTTGGTGCGCACGTGTGTGCATAATAGTGCGGAATATTATTAGTAGGCCTACTTTACAAATTTACATGAGTTTTTTGAGAAATCGGAAATAGCGAAAATTACTACTTCCGGTCAACGGAAATTACTCAAAATTTGACAGAAGGTAGAGAATCAGATCTTTTACTTAGATGTGAAATGTCATTTATCTATCTGAAATACATCTAGTACTCAAGTACTTTGAATAATTCAAAGTAGAAAAAGTTCTAGGCTTTAATAACTGCAGACCTAATAGTAACGATGCTTATCTATAATAGTTTGTTAATTAGTTGTATATTGTTATAGTTAGTACGTTTACGTCATGGTGTCACCCCCACCCTCTTGTAATTATTGTTGATCTGTACTTAAAAGACTATTTAAGTTTAATAAATCCTCAATGCAACTGGCAAAAAAAGCATTTTTCTTCTGTAAATTTTGCAATTTTTTTTGCCATGGTGTGTGTCATCCCCTAAATGGTGTCACCCGGTGCGGTCCCCTCCCCACACCCCCCGCTACACCTCAGGCAATTGCGCAACACATGAACAAAAAAGGTGCGTATGATAGCTTGGTAAATAGTACTTTATATAGAAAATTTTAATTCATTCATAAAAAAATAATTAAGCATCCAATTTAGTCAAATGTGATGTCACATTGCATTGTCAATGGGTAGTGTTGACCCACTTGCCAAGTCTAAAAAGAAATTGATCAGTTAGAAATGGTCAAAAATTTGCTCGCGAGTTTCGCTTCATGAAAAAGCATTAAGCATGATAGGAAGAAACTTTGACTGGAAATGTTAACGTTATCACTCATTTAAGTTTAAATGAAAATGAAAGATGATGCAACAATTAGTTTTTAACTAAAGCCCTCTCCCCACTGTCAGAGTCCATTGAAATGAGCAGCAAATTATTAAATTTAAATCACAGTCTATGTGCAACTGAAAGTAATTATTAATGATGATAGCCCTGAACTAATGCTAACAAGAAGATTAAGTGTGAATTTAGTGATTAGTGTGGATCACTTGTGAAGCGAGTGCTCACCTGAGAAATGTCTAGAGAGGGGTAATATCCTGCTCATCCCAGAAACATCCAGCTAACAGCAATCGTGATGGAAAAGCCAGGTGAAACCCCATAAAAACTTTTCAATGAACCATCCCAAACATTGGGTTAAAAAAAATTAAGGTGACTTGTAAACTAAAAACATGTTAATTGCTTGGAAAAACTGGTCTGGCAGAGATGGCTGATAAAATCACTATCAACTGCAAGTTTACGCTTCACATAAATATGAGTTAACATTTTTAAAGATCAAACTTGAGTTTGTTGTATGTCCCGGAGACCACCCAGATCTGATGGGTACCTGACTCACATTAGCAAAACTAAGGTGGCTGGGCATAGTGCTGACTGCATCATCTTGTATGCCAAGGTTACTGAAACATACTCAATAACTGCCCCATGTGGATGTGTTTTGTGGGCAAACAGGAAAAGAATGATGACTGTTAGACCACATGGTGTTTAATCACTAATTTAAACCTAATTATTATAAGAACACTGTGCAAACCATTTACAAGTACACAATAATTTATTATTAAAAGAACCAGCAAAATTTATACAAGGCTATTAATGTTTTCTTTTATTTTTAAATTTCTTCCTAACACCACTGGATTCTTCTGTATCATCATCCTCATGCGCTCTTTTATTTTTCTTTGCGGCTTTTCTTTTTTCTTCAGCGTCTTTCATCTCCTGCAAGTAATATGATTAAAATGCTCTTTCATTATAAGACTGTCATAATAGTAAATAAATGCAGGCGTAAGGCTGAAAAATCATTGAAAACGGACTCACAATTTTGGTGTATCTCTGGGCTTCACTAACTCTTTCTACCAATTGCATGACTTCTTCTTCTTCAGTTTGATAAAGGGGCAACTGCTTTTTAATAAGCTCCTCAATTCTCTTATACAGTTCAACTTCGTACCTGTTTGAGGAAACATTTTTTATAAAAGTTAAAACCAAACATTTTAATCAGCGTATGTGAAACACTTTAGAAGGAGACTCATGTAAAAAAAACAGTAGAAATATAAAAATGTGCCACAGATTACTGGGTAACAAATATGACCCAAGTAACATTACAACAGAATTATAAAAATGTATTTCATTGACAGCTTAATGAGTGACAAGTGTGATTCAACAGTAAAAATATAAAATGTGTTTCATTGACAGCTTACTGAGTGACAAGTGTGATTCAACAGTAAAAATATAAAATGTGTTTCATTGACAGCTTACTGAAAGAGAAATGTGACTCAACCAGTAAAATACAAAATAATGTGCCTTAACCCCTTTACCGTGGAAAATTTTTTTTTTTTTTTTTTTGGAAACTGTGTAATTGTTTTTTTTCATTATTTGATTTGTTATGTTGTCCTGACAAAATAAAACATCACGTGATGACCTATTTTTATCATCCGCTGTTGAATTGGCTGTTAGATTAGCCTCCCTCTACATTGTTATTGATTTCCAATGCTATTTTTGTATCAAGACGAGTTAACTCGGGACGCACGGCACACAGACGACTTTTTTATCTGAAGACGAGTTAACTCGTGATGTACGGTTAAGCCCAAGATTTTATATGACGAGTTAACTCGTGACACACGGTAAAGGGGTTAATGACAGCTTACTGAGAAAGACAAATGTGACTCAAATAGTAAAAATATAAAATGTGTCTCATTGACAGCTTACTGAGTGACAAATGTGATAGCTTTGCCTGCCCTTCCAGCCCTAGCTGTCCTGCCCACCCGATGGATGTAGTCTTTAGAGTGTGTGGGGATATCAAAGTTGATCACAACGTCAACATGAGGTATATCAAGACCTCTGAAAACAAAATGGCCGTCAAAATACAAAAAAAATACAATTATTGTTTCTTTTATGTCAATTTTATTACATTTATCAATGGGTCATTAGAATTTTTAAAATTGTTAGTTTTATGGCTAGGAGTACCAGAACAAATTAATTCAAACCTGCTTGCAACATCAGTGGCTATCAAAATTGAGCTGCTTTTGCTTTTGAATTTATTCAAGGCTCCAAGTCTTTTTTCCTAAAACAAAGAGAAAAAAAAGTAAAATGCTTTTTAGGGAAATCTTGCATAATAGTAAATGAATTAAAAATGCAATTTTTATAGAAAGAAGACACTTCACAGATGACCAGGCTAGGCATCAACAATTAGCCTTGCTACTTTTGTTTTTACAAAAAGTTTTATTTTATTTAAGAATATTTTCCCCAATGAGTACAGCTTCGAATGACCAAAACAGCACTATTTGTTTGATATACTTGTACATAATTCTGTATAAATTTGGTCGTTCTAGCTGGAGGTCTCAAAAATTCAAAGCATAAAAAAAATTTCTTTTTAGTTTTCTGTAGAAAAGAACCCTTAAAGCTCAGTTATTGCCCCTTAGACAAAAAATATGTCAAACATGAATGATCACGCTTGTTAACTGTCCCACCTTTAAACAATGTTGTCATGTGTGATGTTGATACTGAAGTGAAACCATAGAGAATAAAAGCTCAAACCTGTGAGAGTTGCCCATTGAGTGGGATGGCTTTAAACCCAAGATTCCTCAGCATGATAGCCAGCCTCTGTGTGTTGTTGCATGTACTAGAGAAAATAATAAATGTGTTCCCAGCCAACTCGTTCAGTATATGCACCAGGTACACATCCTGAAATACAGGGACCACAGTATGAAGAGGGAGTCTGTCAGAGCATCAGATCTACTAAGTGATCACAGAAAGCCTTATGTTCACATAAGCCTAAGACTAAACCCAAACCTAGACATACGTCTAAGAATAACCAAAGCCAAACACTAACCCTAGCTATGATTGGGTGTGTGTGTATGTGTGTAATTTGAGTTACTGGGTGGGGAAGTAACTACTTCTGGGTGTAATGTCTTGCCCCCCCCCCCCCCCCATCAGATGTAAGTGGTAACTAAAAGCCTGTATGTAATAGCAGGAGTCTGTCAGTTAGATCTAAGTGGTAAATGAAAACCTGTATGTAATGTAACTACTAAGTATGTAAAGGACTGAATATAAAATGTTATGGTGAACTGACCTTATACTTGACAGGGATAAACAAGTAGCTCTGTACCAAATTGTCCACAGTTTTGTATTTGTTGTTGATTTCTACTTTAGCTGGATTACTTAAACAGGCACGCTGAAGCTTTTGGACCTGGAATGTTTGTGGAAATTAATAGATAATTTTACTTCCACTGCAAGAAAATAATATTAACTACAGTTTAGATATGCTTTTTAAAAATGTATCATTTATAAAAAGAAATTATTGTAAATCAAGCAAAATAACTTAATATAGTATCTGAAAAACTGTCTATTAAGTACATACCTTTTTAGTCATGGTAGCTGAAAACAGAAAGGTCCTTCTTTCTTTAGGGATAACTTTTAAAATTTTATCCACCTGAAGTCATATGAGAACAAGAATAAATTTAAATTTTTAAAAGCCATACATAGCTTATTATTATTAATTTGCATACATTAAGAGTATAAAATATATTCATTGTATGCCCCAAACAATAAAATTTTTAACTCACCTCTTGCTCAAAATCCATGTTCAAAATTCTATCCGCTTCATCCATAACCTGACATGTACACAAAAAGTTAACAACCAAAGTTTAGTTAGTTATATTTCATTCTTTTAAATTATATGGACCCCGGGGTCACCCCTCCCCCCACCCAAACTAGATTTTCCTCTCTTTTAATACCCAGTTTTAACAGCCTTGGTGTGTGCACCCACACTTGTAAACAGTTTCAGGAAATTATCTTTGCTTTACACCATAAAAACTGATATTAATGGAATTTGAAAACTCAGCTAAAAACTACATACCAAATATTTTAAAGATCTCAAACTAAAGCCTTTTGTGTTTTCTAAATGATCAACAAGCCTTCCAGGTGTAGCTGAAAAAAAAATTTCAATTAGGATTAATTATTTTCAATATAATTATCTTTGATATATAGAACAGAAATTAAAATGCATAATTTAATTAAACAAAATGAAGAGTGATCAAAAGTGTTTATTTAAAAAATTTACCAATGATAACATGTGGCTTTTTGGCTAACATCAGGGCTTGATCAAACATGTCAATACCTCCAACAATCACAGCTACAAGAAATATATGGTCAAATTAGATTCAACATCATAAGTTTAGAAAAAAATATATGAAAACACGGTTGGTTAGAATTTTAAAAAGAAAAACCACGCCAAGCTCCAGCTTACCACACTTAATTCCGATAGTAGCACCTAATGCTGAAAACTGTTCGGAGATCTGATAGGCCAGCTCTCTTGTGGGGGTCAGGACAAGGGCAAATAACCTCTGAGGCTTGTCAAGAAGAGCCTGAAGGATGGGCAGTGCAAACGCACCAGTTTTTCCTGAACCAGTCTCAGCCAGCCCAATAACATCTTTCCCTGTGGATAATCAATTTATCTTTGTCAATTAAGAAGAAACGTAAGTCATGCTGCTCTTACAAGCTGATTACAAGTTATCATTGCTTATATTTCATAAAAACTATGTACTAAACACTGCCCTATGTGTCTTAGGGAAAAGATGATGATGCACTTAACTAATTGTTGTTACCTTCTAATGCAAGAGGAATAGCTTCCTTCTGAATCTTGGATGGACGTGTCCATTTCAGCCTCTCACAAGCTTCAGCTAGTACATCCACAACTCCCTAGTGGTTATAGAAAAAAAAATTGAATAAGCAATAAATAACAAAATATAACATACTAAATGATACCATGAAAACATGACCCACCGAAAAATGGTTAAGGCACAACACTGTGGTTGTGGCATGAGGCCACATTGGGGATTTATTTTGCAAGGGATACACACAGCTGAATCGAAACATCGACAGTTTGTATAATGAATTAACAAAAGTATACTTTGCAATGAAACAACTTAAATTAAGAAATAATTTAATATAAAATTTTGCGAGGCAGCAGGTCTATCATTATGGAGATGGATGTGGCTCATTTTTACAACTAAAAAAGGCAACTAGTATAAAAATAGGCCTATATTTCTATTTGGCTTAAATAACTAACAGTTTATCAATTAATTAATAAGTCAAGTTTAGGCCATTTTAAGGCTAAAAAATTAGCCTACTTTTAAATAACACAACTACTACCCGGAGCTAACTGCATATCACCCAGCCTCCCCGAGGCCCTTGGCTAAGTGAAGCAAAATGTATGCACATGCGCAAGCATTCTTTGTGTATGGCATTCAAGTGGTCAAAACGACTCCATTACTTTTGGCTTTTTTTTCCTTATTGAAAGTTTTGAAGGGTTACTTGTTAGGCTTACCATTAAGGTATTATTCAGTTTTCATTATCAAGCCTAGACTAGTGACTAGGCATTGATTAGGGACAGTATTTCAAACTGTTTCTTTCAGACTTTTTCTCTGGGGGCATTTGAATAATAATAAGGCTGATTCTAGTCGGAATAAGATACGCATGCGCAATGGAGAGAAACTACAACTTGCCATTGCGGCGATGTTTCGATGGTACTGCGCATGCATGTGTTTACAACCGCAGAACCCTAACACTAACACCAACCCTAATCCTATCCCTAACCCTAACACCAACCCTAACCTTAATCCTATCCCTAACCCACATTCTAACCCTAACCCTAGGTTACTGCGCATGCGCAGAGCTATCTTTTGCAGACTAAATGGGGAGAAAAATCGGTAATCCCTTAGTTTAGCGTCGGAAATTATCGGGTAATGTTTGTTGAGTCTCGGTAACTAGAGTTACGGTAAACCATGGTTTATTTGACCATTGAAATATAAATAAATTGAAAGTCGATTGTAGTAAATTAATGTTTTAATTTTTTAAGTTTAATCGACAAAAGGAAACAAGAATAAATATAATAGTAGATTTAAATTAGTAGATCTAAAAAAAAACATATATTAATATAAATATAAATAATGAAGTCAAATGTAGGCTGATAATTTAATGTTTTTTGCTTGCAGCGGATTTGGTACCATTAATTAATTAGATCTAGAATCTAGATCTAGCTAGATATCTAGCTGCTAGGCCAAGTAAAAAAATCTAGATTACGAAAATAGTAAAAATGATTACAAAATGTAAAAATGATTACGAAAATAAATCTATCTAAATTTTAAACATTCTGTATAAAAATAAAAGATGACACCAAATAAAGTATGGTTTACAGTACTTCCGGTGAATTCCGGAAGTGTGTGACAGACTTTGGCATTGTTTTACTGTTTTTTACTGCTATACGATTCCGGAATAATAACCGACGCTAAACTAAGGGATTACCGAAAAATCTTCCGAGTAGTCACTTCGTAATAATAAATAATAATTCATTAATAATATCTAATTGTCTGACGGTTGGAGTTGTTGGCTGATGGTATTATTTAGTGGGAATGTTGTGGTTGGATCATCACAATCATGAAAAATATGACAATTCAGAATTCACAAACAGTGAGAACATCCAATGAGAATCACAACTCCTCTCAATCTCAACCTGCCTGAATCATTGTAAAATTTGATTCAGTTTCATTACTTTCATTTCAGTAATTAGATAGGCCTGGGTATGACCTTAGCCAAGTTGATAAAATATTTTCAAAAGAATAAAATATATTCTAGAGATTGGACTTACTAAATCTTTAAAAGAGACATCAACATCACTTTCTTCCTGAATCATGTTTATCATTTACCATGCATGGACCAGGTTGATTATATTTTTAAACAAAGTGTCAGTGTAATTATCGAAAAGTGTCAATCTAACCGATAAAAATATATTAATTAAATTGCCTATATACGAGTGTGTAAAACACTAAATTAAAATTAAAGACACTATTTTAAAATTAAGAACAGTTTATACAATATACTATATGTAGTCTGTATGCCTATATGTATTTTAGATTACATAATTAATTATAGGTGTGTTTGTATATCATTAGGCCCTAACTAAAACATAATTTTTTTTCATAAAAAAAAAACGTTTTAATAACAAGCTTTTATGTACTAATGCACTAAAAAGTAGAAAATAAATTATAGACTACTATTTGAATAACTATAAAGAAAAGCGTGGGTCTCTTCCTAAGCATTAGTAAAGGTATCCAATAGATTAGGGGTTCCCAACCTTTTTTTACTCTAGACTAGAGCACATTCTAAAATATCGGTAGGGTAGCGGGCACCACCTATTTTAAATCGACAAACTCCTTCCATAACTTGTCATTTTCCCATAATTTACTTTCTTATAGTCATAATGTATTTATAAATAATAAAGAAAAATGTTTCAAAATATATATGTGCAAATGGCACTAGCCGTTCCAGGCTATCGTAAATAGTGCAGTCTGGCTCGCCGCTAGACAAGTTGGGACAAGTATCGAACATATTTAATAAACCTAGGCAGTAAAAAAATTAAAACTGTAACAAACGAATAAAAATAAATCATATTTTAAAATAATGTTTATGAAAAAAATTCTGTCTGTGTCGAATATAGTGAGAGGCGGGCACATACGAATCGTTCAGCGGGCGCCATGGCGCCCGCGGGCACAGGGTTGGGAACCCCTGCAATAGATACTAAAGTGACCCACGCTTTTCTTTATAGTTATTCAAATAGTAGTCTATAATTTATTTTCTACTTTTTAGTGCATTAGTACATAAAAGCTTGTTATTGAGACGTTTTTTATGAAAAAAAATAGTAGATTACTTTACATGTTTTTATTTACAACAGAGTTTCATTACTAAAAACCATTGCGCGCTTATTGAACTTGATGACACGCTAATGAACGTGATGACGCGTGTGGTGTGGTTGAATAGAAATGCCTACTAATTTGGTCAAAATTGTAATTAATTCATTTAAAAAATTAATTAGGCATCCAATTAAGTCAAATTTAATGTCACGATGCATTGTCTTCATGTCTAGACCCACGTACCAATTACGAACCGTATCTGTCAAGTAGACGTGCCTGCAATTTCGCTCCGGCGTTTCGATCTAGACTGACGACAGACTGACGAGGAAGTGAGTTAAATAAAAGCTTGTAAAAAAACCATAAAATTAACAATATGAGCCTACACAATCAAATTTTATTTTAAAATTCTAGGACTAGTTGAGATTAAATTCCAAAAATTAATGATCAATTCAATCTTAACTGTACCTCTGAAAGTTGCAGGTTTTATGATGAATTATACGTGCTTTATATTCACAATGCCAAACATATTGCGTTAAGCCATTATGTTATTATATCATAGGTAATAATATGATATCTTTAGTTCACCACATATCCGAGACAATAGTATATCAATCTAACAACGACCTTCACTTATATCATATAGATCTATATTAGTTAGGCCTATAGGAAACACACAAATAAGCAGTGATTTTTTTTTAAAACTGGATTTTTCTTCAACTACGGAACCACATTAGCAACAATTGTTAAGCCTTATTTTGTGATTAAAAATAAACATTGTATTAATATACGGTATTACTGTGTCAACTTGACAATCCTATCATTCTAAAGTGAAGATATTGTGCAAGACAATAAAGAAAGAATAAAGAAAATTAAAGGCAGTGTTACATATAAAACATTACTTAATATTATATAACTACACCAACCCCTACCAAATAAAAAATAGTTTAATAATAAGAGATAAAACACCAATTAAAGACACACTCCCTAATATTAATAATCAAAATGAAAAATAAATGGTTGATAACTATTTTACTTGTTTTCATCTGACTTGGGTATTTTTCGGAAGTTAGAGGAAACGTTGTAAAATGGCGAAGCATCATCCTGATTTGATTTTTTGTAGAAAGCAGCCGGGTGTTGGTGAGAAATACGTTATTTCTAAACACGATATGGTCCTTATTTATTATTTAATGCATACCTTATGTTTTATTAGTATGAAGTGTAAACTTTTACAATTTAAATTTTATCGACATTTTTCTCCAGACTCATTCTCATCATGGTCCAAATGATTGGAAGTGGGGAAACAAAAACGAAAAAAACGGCGTTTAAAACGTTTTTGATAGAATCTAATCTAAACTTACACACTAGTGTCACTAGATCTAGGTTTTGCTGTGTTATTAGTTTATAAGGTTTAGGGTAATCTCACGATATAACTTCGTAAATTATCTGGTAATGTAAATGTTTGTTGAGTTTCGGTAACAAAACATTAATTTTAAATTTAATTAATGCACTTGAGTATCACTTGACTTTATAATAATTAGGCCTAGAGCAAATTACACTGTCCGGACACACACCGCGAAAAAACGCAACTTAAAACTTCCATGCGGTCTCATTCAGTAACCGCTTAACATAGGAAGGAAAAAAAAGTATCATATCTATCCGCAATCATTCTACTTTAATAATGTGTGTGTCATTTTGTATTCATACGCATAGAACTTTAGCTATTCTTGTTATAGTGACTGGGGGGTCTTAACATGTGTTCGGACACATGTAATACAATTTCAAATGTGTTCGGACACCTTTACCCGTCATCGGACAAAGCACTTTTTGTTCATTTAGAATAATTTAAAGTCAATTTAATGAATAAAAACATATATTATATGCATTTATATTGTGTTATTGATTGTTTGTGAGGTAATTTTAATAGTATAAAACCTTTTTCCCACACTCCCAAAGTTCATCCCATTCAGCCATTGCGGCTCGCGCAGTACGCTGCTAAGCCAGCCAGGTCACATGATTCCCCCTCCTCTTTCGCATTCCACTGCATTCTTGACCTTATTTTGACCCTTTCCCTTCAATAACCAGCCCCTTTTATGCTCTAAATTCTTATTTAATAATATTTTTGTGTTGCTGTCCGGTCCCATGTAAGGTCAAAAAAGTTAGCGAACACCCCTTTTTTATTGTTCAAGCACAAAATAACCCATTAACCTTGACTTTTACGATGTTCCATACATATATAGAAGCTATTTATAGTGTAACCTTTTAGCTAAGCGTTGATTGGTTCAAGTTTTGCCCCTAAGTCCAACCCTAGGTCACTTCATCCGGCTGGTGTAAAAATAGAAATGTGCGTACCATGCAACGTTAAAAATTTTCTAAAAATAATTCTTGAGAGAGGAAACGGAAGTACTTGACACGGAAGTGTTCATAAATGAACAGTTTACGTGCAGGCGCCGTTGTTTCGCATGAGACATGCTAATTAAAGTTTCTATGAGCCAAAAACCGACGAAGTGTTCGGTCCCATGTAGTGTTCGGACAATGTAATTTGCTCTATATCTTTATATTTATTTCAATGGTCAAATAAACTATGTTTTACAGCAGGGGTCTCCAAACTACGGCCCGCGGGCCGAATGCGGCCCGCGAGGTCCTCTCATCCGGCCCGCGGAGATCTTTTTGTCAACAGAAAAAAGTTTGTTGGTGATGGCTGAGGAACTTTGCCTAGAAAAATCAAAGACATGCCTGGATGAAACAGGCCCCAGAACAGATTTGATAGTTAAAGCGGCACTCGGACTGAAAAGTTTGGAGACCCCTGTTTTACAGTAACGAATGTTACCAAAACTTTAAATTAAGTTAACATCACAAATGCTTGAAGCTGCTGCCGCCGCAAACACATGTTGTATTGTTGCAAAGAAATGTATTATTACCACCACCTACAATACATTTTTTCATCTTTTATAGGCCTAGGCCTTTAGACCGTCTATATCAATTTTGTTCATTTTAAAAAAATATTCAGGGATGTGACTTTTCCGAATTTTAGCGGAAATCCGATTTTTCCGTTTCAATTGCGATTTTCCTCCGCTGATTTAATTTTCGCCGAATTTTTCCGCCGACTTTCAATTTTGTCGATTTTTTACGAAGTTTTTAAAATTGGGAAAAAAAACGGAAATGTCTTCTACGGAAAGGGCTGACATGCTCATTCCACTTTTTCGTACTTAAATTTAAATCGACAACTACTGTACTTTGGTCAAACGGACACTCGAACATGCGCATTTCTTTTCGATTGGTCGATTGCGCTAGGTCTAATTGTGCTAGATCAAGATTAAATGTAGATTAAGATTCGGAATTTCGGCGGACTTTCGAATTTTTCAAAGCACACTTTTTTAGTCCAAATTTTCCGCTGATATTTTCAGTTAACTATTTATCAAAAACACGGTAAAAGGTAATCTAAAATAATGCAGTTATTCAATTAAAACTTACATCTCTTAAGCCTGGTAATCTAGCTATCGATATAGCCTAATTTACCTATCGGTATTTTAACCCGCCTAAATCTAGAGTTTCTCTCTGATTCTATTTTATTTCGCAATCTCAAATAAATATGGAAATCCTTGCAAAAGTTGACTATGCGGACTAGACTAACCCGCCCCACCTCGTAGCAACGGTGGCTCTTGTGACCTCACCTTGACCCCAAGTACGTGTTCGGTACTGCTTGTGGGGGGGGGGGGGGGGGGGGGAATGACGTCACAGTCAATTTCAAATAGCTGTTCCTGCAATACGTATGTTTCGTAGGCCTTCAGATTAAAAAAAAATACTAAACTCAACGTGACTACGACTGTGTCTTGTTTGTGGAAGAAAAAATACGTTCATACTGTTTTTAAATTTTTAATAAGGGGTCTTCCATAAATAACGTCACACTCGTCATATTTTTGTATTTTAAAAAAGTAATGTTAGAAACAAATGCATTTTAGCCGCTATTAGAAAACTGTTGTAAAACATTGTAATGGAAATTGAATAAAATACCCTATGTTGGTCGACCTCAGTCAATATTTTAGAAAAAAATCGATGTTTAAAAAAAAATTCAAATTAATTTCGAGGGGGGGGGGGGAGCATTTGTTGGCTGAGGTGTGACGTCATTATAGCGGGGGGGGGGGGGAGTCTGGCTTTTGTAGGAGAGAGGGAAGGTAAATATCGTCAAAAAAATGTGGATGAGCCCTAACAATTTAAAGCTATTCCAAAAAAAAACCATAAATATCGATGTGGCTTGGTTATCATAATGATTAAGTTTGGTTCACACATTAGACCCTTTCTAATTTTAGCTAACCTGGTCCATTTCATTTTTCCATCACATGAACCTAAAACTTTCAAATTATTGGCTAACTAATTTTAATCTAGGCTCTTAACAGTTGAAGACATATTTTTACCAATCCAATCTTTAAAAGAATATATATTAGGCATCAGGCCCCCTATTTAAAATTGAAAACAGGAGTACATCTAGAATGTACACTAGATTAGTACAGTTTAAATTAGCTGAATGGTAAAATAAAACTTAAATGCTACTTTTGTTACATTGTAATTTTTAAAAAGTTGTTTATAAGGTAAACATTAAATTGCAATTAGACAAGACTTTCAATGTTATTTTAGAGTAACATAAACTTCTTGTATTTAAAATATTAACTTCATTAAACAATTAATTAGTACAGTAACAGTATGAAGCTGCTTAACTGCGATAAAAAGTAGATAAAACATATTGAGTTAGTATCCGAAGAAAATTTCCTAATTTTTTTTCCTGGTCTGGTCACATCCCTGAATATTATAATTCAGAATACTTGATAAAATTATGTTTTAAATTGTTTATTTCTACTTATACGCTTTTTACACAATACAAAGTGTTACAGATTGTAAGGTATTGGCTTTACATTAACAAATGTGAATATTTCTCCTGCTGACAGTATTACCCCAAGCATGTTTGTAATATTGCTATTGTTCAGGCTATGACCCCTCAAACATTGGTATTTTTCTAGCGTAGAAATGGGTGATAATGTTTAGAATGTCTAAAATATTTACTTTTAACTATGCTGTTATCTGTAATAAGTTACATTTAATTTCAGAATTTAATGGTATTCATTTTTAATATTTCAGCTATTGGAAGGTTATGTGAAAAATGTAAGTAAAAATTGCCTATAGTTTTAATTTATAGATACAGGTCTAGCAACATTCAACTTAATTTTTTATTAGTTTTTTCTTTATACTTTAGTTGTCATAGGTTAAACCTCCTGCTAGCTAGATTTTCATTTGAACATCAATGGACATGATCATTATAAGCTATCACATTTAGTTATTCAGTTATTACATTAGTGTGTTAAATATCTACAATACCAAAATTTCATCATTGGATGGTATCAAAATACATACAAAATGTTAGATGACTAATCTTTTAAAACAATGTAATTCAGTTTGGCTTTAAAATAAATTTAAATGGTTTTAATTTTTATAGATTTTATTGTTCATATAATCCAGGTGATGGAAAATGTGTCATATGTGACTCCTATGTCAGACCTTGCACACTTGTTAGAATATGTGATGAGTGTAATTACGGATCTTATCAAGGCAGATGTGTCATTTGTGGAGGGCCAGGGGTCTCAGATGCATACTATTGCAAGGAATGCACGATCATGGAAAAAGATGTAAGTACAAAACAATTTAGAACTTTCGTACTATTTAAATATGATACCTCATGTTGATTTTTTTCCTTCAAATTCCTGATGCAGTGATCTTGATTTTAAAACAATTTCCAGCTTTATTGCACAATTTTATGTGCAATTTTAGTCCATACACACACTTCATGTTGTTAATACATTCATAATCCATTGCTCAAGGGTAGATCTTTCGTTGTTAATGTTCAACTTAATGTAATGAATACCTTTGTAAATTAATATAAATATTTTCTTACATTGTCTTTGTTATATTTTATAGCTTTTTAATAAATTTGCATGACAATATTTCCCTCATTTTATTTGTCCACAGAGAGATGGATGCCCAAAGATTGTAAATCTAGGAAGTGCTAAAACAGATTTGTTTTATGAAAGAAAGAAATACGGGTTTAAGAAAAGATAGTATAGAACTGAGGCATTTTATTTTTTCATCTTTCTACCTACATCATCTTTTAATCATTATGTTATTGTTTGTATATGAAAAATAAAATATGAACAATTGTATTTGCATCGTATTTCATTGAGTATTTTCTTTTTATTTTTTTTTATTTTATGTAATTCTGGTTTTTTTATATAAATAATATATTAATGCACACATTTGGCATGAAATATGAAAAGTCGAAAAATTTGGAACCAGCTTTTCAAGTCTATTACTATTACATAGCAGGAATTAGACTTGTAAAGTAAGGAAGTTTAAGAAATATGGGATTGTTCTTTTTTTTTTAAAAATTATTTGATAATGTTCTCTGCATGCAAATTAAATGGGCCAGTTAACTTGTTTATCAGTAAGTGTTAAAAGTAAATGCATGTCAGTTTGGTGTTTCTTAGTGCCAACATGGTTTTCATTTCCTATTTACATCAAGTCTGTGTGTAAAAATAATTTTTTGACCTGAAAATGGTAATGCCAATGTGATGCAATATTGTGTGGGGATATGAACACACCCATATAATTAATCAATTGAAATCAAGGACATCCTGTTCTCTCTTTGGCACCGATGAACGAATCTTGCTGACCTCATCTCATGACGTCATTAATCCGCCAAGGAGGAAAAAAATGATTTTTTTTTCTTCATCCCCTAACTATCAATCAAATGATTATTTCAGTAACATTTAATTATGCGGCAAACGCTGTTAATTAAAGTGAAGCTAGTTAACGCTCAGGTAATTATCATGCCTAAAAATCTCAAGTTTATAATAAGATTTAATTAGTGGTGTTGTTTGGATAGGGCGTTTCTCAGGGGGGGGGGATTTTTCTTTACAACGTCGCGTAGGCTATGTTGAATTCCTCTAAACAGCGCGTGATTTTGGTAGCTATTTTTTCTTGTGAGATTCGTCTCCCCTATTTAATAAGATGACAAAACTCAAGTTATCTCCCTTTGCTTCAGCTAAGGCCGAGTAGTAGTAGTAGGTTCTATCTCAAGTAGTTTAATTTCTAAGAGGGATAATTTTATAAGTAAATGGTCTAACTACCTCCCCTGGTTTTTGAGCGTGTGTACTGTTTGGTTAGCGAGATTTTTCAACTTTTTTTTGGAAAAGCATAAACATCCAACATGGAAGTTGATGAAAACAAACAGTCAATATTAATCGTAGTATTTTTAAAAAGGCTTTTTGTCAGATTTATTTATAAACATGTACGTTCTAAAGGAATGACGACGCATTTATATTAGGGCTAATTGCGTGGTGGGGCGGATGGTAGGTGTGACGTCATACGTGTCATTTACTTTTTATAAATAGCATCGCGTGTGAGGTGAGCTCTTTTTAAACTTTTTTTTCTTCCAAAATTGACATCTTGCCTGTGAAGCTTTCTGTTTACTGGTTGAAAGTGCAGCTTAATACAAGCCCAATATAGGCCTGTGTTATTACACACGTTCTTAGAAAATGGTTATATGGTTATAGTTTTGTGGCGTTATATTTAAAGAAAAAAATATTTTTTTTTAAAGTGTGTTCTACAATCTGTCTGTAGGGTTTAAATTGCCTGGAGGCCTATATACTCGGGCGGGGTTTATGGACGCCCAAAATACAACTGTCTCACGCAGTGGCGTAGCCAGGATCGTCTCAAGGGGGGGTCCAATTTTTACCCGGGGACAAGCTTTCGATTTGCACCCCCCCCCCCTCAGACTTTTGATTTGCACCCCCCTCAAACTTTCGATCTACACCCCCCTCATACTTTATATATATACCGAGGGGTCTATGGGGGGAGGTTATGACCCCCCCCCCCCTATCCCCCCCCCCTGCCTACGCCACTGGTCTCACGTTTATCTACAGCATTAAAAAAAAAATTGGCGAAGACGCTTTAAATTGAATGCTTGCTTCGATTTTTCAAAATAGAGAACATTTTTAAAATAAAACCCCACAATTTTACGTAATTAGAAGCGTTATAATGTATAAGCCATAAAATAAAATGCAATGGGCAATTAAATTTACACAAGAAGTGAAATAAGATAAAAAAAAAAACATAGAGTTAAAATATAATTGCCATCTTCTGTAGTCCAATGGTTTCCTGACCGGTTTAACTAGATCTAAATATGTCTTTTTCGTGAGTTCTGCTGTCGTAAAATGCACGTGACTTATTAATAGAAGTGTTAGTTTGCAGATGACGTCAGTAGTAGTGTCGATGTGACAGACTTGCCGTCAAAGAATAAATAAGAACATGCCTGATCAATCAGTTTGATTTGTGTGCTTAGTTACTTCCCTTCACTACCACTTCCTCTTGTTGATATGTGGAATAAGGGTTCGTACATGAACGACGCCACACTCTTAGGAGGAAGGGGTGGGGTCGGACTTGAGTGACGAAAGTGACTGGGGGGGGAGGTAAAGTATGACGACACATTACTGATTTTATGCGTTGTTTCGTGTTTTTAAAGACATTTTGTCAATCGAAATTTTTTTTAAAGTGTCTAATGTACGTTACTCAACAGATAATTTTGAGAGAAATCGTTGTTTTAATTTTTTTTTTTAAATTGTAATAAACTAGCTGCATTAACGTCACTTCTGATATTGTAATAAAGTAGTCTCCATGACGTCACCCTTCAGATAGTGTAATTAACTAGTCTCCATGACGTCGATTTTTGTGAATTTGAATTAATGTGATGTAAAATATATGACCAACAGTAACTTACCTATGTGGTGCCAGCATCACCTTGACCAGTGTTTCTTCCAGACTTTTTTCTCCGCGGGGGCACTTGAAATTTTTCTTTGGGGGGGGGGGGGGGGACGACTAAGATTTCCGTGGGGTAGGGGGTTGGGGCGACCACTGATAGAAGAAATATTTTCTATGTAAATTCTATTTCGTTCGGATGGGGGGGGGGGGCAGTAGATGTTTTTCGGGGGGGGGGGGGGGGGCAGAGCGCCTCCCGCGCAGAGATGTCTGGAAGAAACACTGACCCTGACCATATGATACCTGCATGACCTTGTCAAAATGACAATGGTTCACCATGTCATACCAAGATGACCTTACACCACTGTTTGAATTATGACGCACAACAAAAGGTTAAACTGAATATCTTTTAAATAATGAATTAAAAAAAAACAAAAAATTTAAAGTTTATTATTTTCAAATAAATAATTTCCTACACATTTTTTATTGTATACTAAATTCAGTGATACTCATCCAATATCCAAGATTCACGAATTCTTTCGTCAGTAATGGTTGTCCAGAATGTGAATTTTTTAAAATTTTGTCCCGTGGTGCATTTATTTTTGCATTAATAATTGAAACCAAATCAAAGAGACACGGATAATGAACACAAGCGAAGCGTAACGAGAACTGCGGGTAATAAAAAGTTGGTCCAATAATCGATGGCAGAAAACGGAATCAGAGGAGGGGCGTGACTTCTGGGCTGTCAACGATGCTGGGGGTGGGGTAGACGTGGTGGTGGGTGATAGATGAAGGTGTGTGATGTGGTGATATACGAAGGTGGGTGATGTGGTGATGTATGAAGGTAGGTGTTGTGATATATCGTAGGTGTGTGATATGTTGATATATGAAGGTGTGTGATGTGGTGATATATGAAGGTGTGTGATGTGGTGATATATGAAGGTGTGTGATGTGGTGATATACGAAGGTGGGTGATGTGGTGATATACGAAGGTGGGTGATGTGGTGATACATGAAGGTGGGTGATGTGGTGATGTATGAAGGTAGGTGTTGTGATATATCGTAGGTGTGTGATATGTTGATATATGAAGGTGTGTGATGTGGTGATATATGAAGGTGTGTGATGTGGTGATATATGAAGGTGTGTGATGTGGTGATACATGATGAAGGTGTGTGATGTGGTGATACATGAAGGTGTGTGATGTGGTGATATATGAAGGTGTGTGATGTGGTGATATATGAAGGTGTGTGATGTGGTGATACATGAAGGTGTGTGATGTGGTGATACATGATGAAGGTGTGTGATGTGGTGATACATGAAGGTGTGTGATGTGGAGAAACATGAAGGTGGGTGATGTTGTGATACATGAAGGTGTGTGATGTGGTGATACATGAAGGTACGTGATGTGGTGATATATGAAGGTGGGTGATGTGGTGAAACATGAAGGTGGGTGATGTTGTGATACATGAAGGTGGGTGATGTGGTGATACATGAAGGTGTGTGGTGTGATATATCGAAGGTGTGTAATGTGGTTGATACGTGTATGGAAGATGTATTATGTAATGAAATATGAAGGTGGATGAGATGGTGATACATGAAGGTGTGTAATGCGTGCATGCATGCGTGTTGTGGTGATGCGCCTTTGTAAGTAGGTTTTTGTGGTAATACATGTTGGGTTATCTAGTGACGCATGGAAGGTGCGTGAAGTTAAATTTGGTTGGTGATACATTAAGTGTTGATCCGAGGTCATTTCTATTGGTTTGATTGCGGGTAGCTTAAATTATCTCATGCGGCCTTGATTGTGGGTAGCCTACACTATCTCTAGAGATTTTCCTACATGAGACTTGTGATGTTGAATCAGTGACCATATCGCCCCATCGATAAACAACGAATCTGCTTCTTGGTACCCCGCGGCAATCGCCCGCCCCATATTAGGGATACATGAATATTATTTCCCGTGACACCCCACCTTAACATTCACCTGTTACCTGAGCGCAGGTTGGGCCTGTTGACACCACTTACGATGGTGTTGGTTGATTGGGTTAGTTGTCCAGTGTCACGCACTGATATTTTTCAAATGGTTTTTGTTTGGTGATCTCGTTACAGATCTCGTTACAGATGTCGTTACAGATCTCGTTACAGATCTTGTTACATATCTTGTTACAGATGTCGTTACAGATCTCGTTACAGATCTTGTTACAGATCTTTTTACAGATCTTGTTACATATCTTGTTACAGATGTTGTTACAGATCTTAGAGCATCTGACCCCATGTACGTTGACTGGTTGAAGAAATGACCCTGGGTCAGATGAAATCCATTCTCTCACAGGTCTGTGTGTGTGAGAAAGAGGGAGGGGGGGGTCGTATACTAGTCATTATACATACCGGGGGGGGGGGGGTCAGGCTTTTGTGACAGTAAGCTACGTGTTAGAAGACAGGGGATAAAGAAATATATTGTAGCATTTATGTCACTTCTTTAAAATATTAATGATTTCGTTAAGAAACGTTCAATTTCGATAACCTGTTGTTGTTTTACGTGTGAGGGGTTGGGATATGGAACTTTGTGAAGTCATTTGAGAAAAACCGCGGTTATAGTCCCTGTGTCCATAACAATACTTGCTGATGGCTGTGTATGACTTTTATTCCAGGTAAATCGTGACATATCCAGGTTAACTTGCACATCAATATATGGTAGATCTATATGTTAATCTCAATGGGAAGTATCTACTTGTAAAACATCGTAAAAAAAAACAATATATAAGATTGAAGTAAAGGCATTTATTACAAGTATTAAGTTAATTACAAACATAGTAACATTCACATTACATATGATTCATAAAGTAAAAAAAAAAAAAGGTTAAGATAGCCTATACAAAATGAGCGGGAGTGATCTCCCCGAATTTCATCGAATATTCTATAGCAGTAATGGCTGAGTAAGGGGGAAGGCAATCCGGCTATAGAAATATGTAAGTTCGTGGGAAATACCGCTCGTTTTTGTCGGCTTTTTTTTTTTAGAAAAAAAAAATAAAAACCCCATAAAAAACCAACAACATCCTATTGAGAAGGATGAAGTTGTACGATGTCATTAAGGTCAACAATATGGTATTCTTAAATCACAATCGGCTACCTCTTTTTGTAAAGAAAGAATTTTTTTCCAATAATTTCTTCTTTTTATTTTCTTTTAAGGAAATAAGAAGGGTGAGAGCTGTTGACTTTTTCGTCTGTTGGTCAAAGGCCAACCCGATAATTGACGGCACTTTGAGTGATTAAGTTAGGATTAGCTGTGGGTTAGATAGCTCAACACTCGCCGTGACCCTTTGAAAAAATGTCAATCATCTAAATCTACTTCAGGAAAATAACTCTCCTATGATAGCTTTATATAACTCGCTACATTTTTATTTGGTTTAATTTTAGGGAAAGTAAATAAATACATAAGCCATAAGCAACATTCACTAAAAAGAGCAAAAATGTGTGCGTGCATCTAACATTTTAAGTGCGAGGCGTCCTGGAAGTACTTATATTAGGTTATCAATATCAATATGTTATTAAATGACTGCGCTGTAGTTTTACAACTACTGCGCGGCCGCGCGACCGCGCAGCTTAGAGGTAACATTGGTCAAAGGGCACACGCTGACGCTCTTGCGGTTTTGACCATAGGTGGTTTGACCATAGGTGGTTTGACCACAGAGGGACTTGGACCACAGCGTGGAGGGGAGGGGGGTATTGTCCATGCCTGATACGAAATAACAAAAGATAAAAAAGTTGCGGAAACATTTTCCTATGATGCGGCATGATGTGATAATACGATTTTTAATCGTGAAAGTTATAAATAGAAGTCACCTAGAACACTCAAGTCAAAACCGTGTAAAAAAAAAAGTTAAAATATCTTCGCATGTCTACATTACTTACCTTATTGCTTAGGGGGTCATCCATAAATGACGTCACGCTTTTTTGACGATTTTTACCTCCCCCCCCCTCCCCTCCGTCACACGTCGTCACAAAAAGCCAGACCCCCCCCCTAAAATGACGTCACACCTCAACCAACAACCCCCCTCAAAATTGCAGTTGATTTTTTTTAAAAACATCGATATTTTTCCAAAATCTTGTCTAAACTATTACAATTTATTAAAACCGTTATCTAAAACGCGAAATAACGTCTAAAATTCGTTTTCTAACATTGCTTTTTTATAATGCAAAAATGTGACGTCGCAACATCTGAGCCCCCCCCCCCCCCCCTCATCACACATCGTCACAAAATTACGGACCCTCCCCCTCCCCCCTACGAGTGTGACGTCATTTAGGGATGACCCTTTATTTCAATTTAAAAATGCATAGGAAAGAGGTAATGTTCAGGAAAAGAAAATTCGCCCGTCATGCTTACGTAAATTAACCAAATAAAACAGAGTTATTTATCAAAATAATGGTCAAATAACCAATTTGTGCCTCCATACATCATACATTAACCGAACTACGCGCCATTAAAATTTAAGCTGTTTAAAAATAAATTTACCGCGGCGAGAGTAGGCCGGTCTCGCGAGAACTTAGGCCGAGAACAAAAAGATCGATGCTATTCGTTTCGAACAAGACGGAACAATGCAAGGCTGGTTCGTTTCCTTCCATTATTTGCGGAAACTTTTTTGAAATCGTGGGCTACTAAAAGCTTGCTATGCGGTATAGAAACCAGCTACCCAAACCAGTTTTTGACTAGATCTAGGTCTTTTCGTTTAATTTAACAAATCCATTAGGTTTTTCAACTTTTAATTACTTGTATTCACTAGTGAGAAAACAATTAACAGCCCACTAATAGCCCTACTACACAGGACCACAAAGCTGTTTACATGTTGAAAAGGGGGAGTGAAAATTTTAGAAGTTAAAATTATCTTAACTATTACTTTTTTTCATAACTGTTACTTTGGAAAAAAATCTTGACAAAAAAAAAAGGGAGAGGGGGGCAGAACTAAGCTAATTTTACACTAGCACCAATTAGGCACACACGTCATATCGCTCGGTATCTCGATAAAATGTAACCCTAATCCTTAACACAAACCTTGCACGTAAAACAAATTGCGTGGTAGGTAAACAGTACCAAAGAAGCTGTAGTGTTTGCTGTCGCCTAGCAACACAGTCTCGAACCAGAGCACAATCAGCGCCACAGTGCCTAACCTCGCCGAAAGCCCGCGTGCGTACAATACACACGATTTTAATTCGCTCTACTTCCTCTGCAACAACGTTTCTTCAGACGAGGGGAACACGGCATACGATAAGCCAGAGGAAGGGAGAAGTGAAACGCGAACTGCAGAAATATGTATGGGCGAGGGTAACTTGAGTGGAATTACGAGAGAGTAGCACAGTCTACATAGCATAGCGAGGGTAGCATAACTTCAGTAGAGTGGCATTGCGAGAGTAGCACAGCCTACTTTACCGAGAGTAGCACAAATTACGCAGTAAGACTTGAGAGTGGCGCAACCTAAGAAGCAATTCGTCGATAGTATCAGAGTTTCTTCCAGCTCCCCCCGACGAAATGGAATTTAGATAGAAAATATATAATTTTAACTGTCATTCCCCCCCCCCCCCCCCGGAGAAAAAAAATTAGGAAGAAACACTGGATAGTATCAACACATGTAGCGACAGCAGCACAACTTAGTAGCGTGGAATAATTGTGAGAGAGTAGTACAACGTACTTAGCTATTATCACTGTGGTTCTTTCGGGCATCTCTTCGAGGTGGGAAGGGGGGGGGCACCGACCCCCGAAACGAAATATAATTTATTTAGAAAATATATACTTTTACTCGTGTCCGCTCCCCCCCCCCCCCCCTCGAGAAAAAGTCTAAAAGAAACACTGGCTAGGTTAGCACAACTTACGTAGAGTGGTATTGCGAGAGAGTAGCACCACCTACATTGCAAAAATAGCACTATGTTAAGGGTAGCACAACTTATATCACGATAGCAGCGCAACCTATGTAGCGAAATTAGCACAGCGTATTTAGTAAGAAAAAGCACAAAGTAGGTAGAGTAGGCCTAGGATAATGTACGCAACGAAAGTATCACTTCGGCGAGAGTACTATAGCAATTTAAGTAGAGTAGGTACAGTATAGTAGTGTAACCTTAATTGCAAAAATAGCACTGTGAATAGAGTAGCACAATCCACGTAGAGAGAGATAGAGAGTAGCACAGCGATGAGTATAGCACAAGCTACAACAACCTACGTAGCCATACGGCACAAGCCCTGTGCTACAGTGTGTAGCTATAGCCACGGTGATAAATGAAAATCGGTTGGTGTTTACGAAAAAGCTACGCGATCAGGCAAGGACTGACCTCAAGCAAGCGCAATGAAAAGGCAGGTCGGTATAGTATGTGGTAGTGGAGGGGAGATGGGGGGGGTTGATAAAAAAAAATAAAGCGGAATAGATAACGCGGTGGTTGGGGAAACGCAAGAGTAAGAGAGAGAGGGGAGAGAAATTCAGCCACACAGGCGATTTTTTTTTCTGGGGTAAAAATTCACGCGGAGCGAGGTCGGAGAGGGGTTGTTCTTTCAGCCAATGGCGTTCTCGCAGCGACTGCCTGTCAAAGCAGACGATCTAACAATAAACTGGGGTGTGCTGTGCTCGCCCGGAAAACTAGGCCCAGCCAGCGATGTGTTCAGCTATCACAGGCAGCGCTGTGTTTGCCTTGTCGTGTAGATAGTGATATGTAAAAATTGGGAACTGCGCTGTACGATCTCTCGACTCTCAGTCATGTTTGTTAGCTTGTGAAAAGTTTTAGATCGTGAGGAATTTCTGTGGATTATAAAGAGGTGGATTATTATAGAATGGATTAAGAATTAGAATCTAGATCTAGATTCTTATTTATTATTTATTTAATAATATAGGCCTATTAATACTATTATATTTTAGGCCTAGGCCTAATTATTTTTAAGCTGCTCTTAAATAAATCTAATCTAGATCTAGATCTAGATCTAGATCTAGATTCTACCCTTCTTACAGTCGTACAATAATATTGTAGTTTGTTAAAGTTAAAATGTAGAAAATAATTTGTATTAGCCTACATCACATGTACAAGATCTAGATCTAACTAAAGGCCTTTTAAATTTTAAAATAGGCCTATAGATTACATTTACAACTTCAATTAGGTGATTAGGTAGATCTATAAAATCCATAAATTACTCGATTTAGAGCACTAATATTAGTAATAGATCTATATACTATATATATAGGCCTAGGCCTATTACATTTAATTAAATAAACTAGGCCTACATTTAGGCCTGAGGCGCGCGCTTAGGGCCTAATTAATTGTAGAGCCTAAATTGACGTAATGTGAAAATCGAGGGCGTAATGTGAAAATCGAGGGCGTCGACAAAGAGGCATTTTAAAAACTAGAATCTAACAGTTAAAAAAATTTCACTGTTGTATTGTATGGGGCGTACTATTGTAGATCTAGATCTATATTCTAGATCTACTAAAATTAATAGATCTAGGCCTAGTAGGTGTACAAACGAAATAAAATTAAGCAATATCTACTTGTTTTTACTTTTAGATCTAGTAAAAAAATCAATTAATGTGCCTAGTTCTAGGCCTAATTAATAGCCTACTGTAGGCCTATTCAAACTTAAAATCAAACAATTTGGATTTGAGTAATTTCATTTAAACCGGACAAAAACCTAGATCTAGTCTAGAATCTAAATTTAGAAGATCTAGATCTAGTTAAAATGAACTTAACAGTTAACAAGATGTCAGTTTCTTTAGAATACTTTAGGTTATTGAAATATTTCATAGAATTGGGGTCTGTTTAAATTATTAACTGATTGTAGGCTTTGTAGGCCTACTTGATTGTAGTTGATAGACTACTGAAAACAAACTTTTTGAAATGGCAGGCCTAGGGGCCTATATTGTTGAAAAATATAAGTTGAGTTAGAAAGTGTTATTTTGTCTTCAACACGTTTGATCGTTTTAAATTACTAGGCCTAGAACTAAGCCTATACACTTATAATTCGAATTTTGATCATGGTCACTCTTTATTTAAATTAGTTTAGCCTACTGTTTTAAGCGGACATAATTTTTGTAGGCCAAGGACTAAAAATATATTTAGAATCTAGATATAACTATATAACAAAAAAAATGAAGTTTTATTAAACGTAGATTCTAGATCTATGTGTCATTATTGCGCCTAACGTGCCATCTCACAATGTTAAAATGTAGATTCTACAATAGTTTCGTGCTAAAGAAAATGTATTATCATTAATTAGACAGAACAATCGGGGTTAAATAATTAGGCTTAATTAGTATACTATCCCCAATCTTAAATACGTCTGATCGCAGTTTGTAAAATATAGCTTTCACGTTACCAAATTATATCTTTACCAAATTACGAATCACCATTCAAATAAGAATATTGACACATAAGCCTACAATTTTAATTAACCGTATGCTTCTAACTTTGTTTATATTAATCTGAACGCCATAATTATATTCTACTCTCGTACTAACAGTAAGCACATATTTTTAAAAAAAATTCTGCTAATTGTAGGCTACACGTTTTTCAAAAAATTACTAGATTTCAAGTTGTAACAATTGTAATCTCGGAAGAACTCTACGTCCTAAGCCTACACCAAACCGCATCTTGCGATTAGCCTACCCTGTCGAATCGTAGGCCCTAGGCTAGCTAATAAGCCAGGCCTAAAGTTTTTCATCTGCCCCAAACTGCCATTATTCTTGTCAGACAACTTTCCAGCATGTGTATGTTTTCTCTTCCACTACATTAGAACAGGGTTTGGGTTGGGATTAGCCTTAAAAATAAAAAGATAGCGAAAATGCACGGTCTTGCAGATTGTGGCGTTTGCCATCACGCGAAATTTATTGCGCAGCGTTGAGTAACATTTACGTTGCTCTTTTTATCTCGTGTAATATTTAATTAGATCTATATAAATAATAGTTGCCAAAATGTAGATCTATCGATCGAGTTAAGCATATGAGAACTTTTTCATTCAGCTTCCGTAGATCTAATATTGTTTGAAGGAATTTAAAAAAAAATAATTGACAATAGTTGGCTAGTTTGATTAAACTATTAAACTAGGCGAGGCCTAACAACTTAACAAGTATTTTGACAATGTGAGCCTACGCTTTGGTGTTTATGCGTTGCGTTAACAATTAAAAAAAAAACAAGCATTATGATTTTCAGTTTTTGAAAGTTTGTTAAACTTACGTAGATCTAATTATTTTAATTATTTTAAATAGGCCTACGTTAGAATAAAATATATTTTTTTCAGAACTTCAGCTTAGGCTAGAAACATTTTTGTATGGTCAACGTAATTTTTGAGTACAATTTTTTACATTTGTAATTATTGACATAATTAGATCACGATATGTTTCAAAAATATTTTTGACGCAATTTTAAAATAGTAAAAAGAATCCTTACCGGTAATTGTTAGATCTTTTTAAAATTATGTTTTCTTTAACTTTAATGAAATTAAATAATTTCGTTAAAAAAACTTGTAGTGTAGTTTTCAAACAAGGATACATTTTTGCTTTGGAGCATGGACACAAAACCATAAAGCGTAAATACGATTATTAAATTATAAATTAAGTCTGTTAGTTTCTACAAAGCGTCAGCTATAAATATAAACCATCACCCCAGTTTTAATGTGCTCACCCTCCCACCCCACCCCCTGTTTGCGGCCCTCATTATTTTATAACCCCGGTATAATTTATTTAAAGGTGCCTCGCCCTAATTTTTTTGTTGACTATCCAAGCTACAAAACAACGCCTCAGCCGCTTTAGGCGAACTACGGCTTTGGCGCATTCTGAATGAATTTGCTTGGGGTGGGGTTAAAGTGGAAATACGATTGTTATAAATTAGTTTTTATAACATCAGTTCTGTAATATACCTTGATACTAGTAACATTCGTTATGTGGTTCTATACTATAAAAAAAAAATAAAAAACCGGAAATTTAAAATATTTTTAGGTGAAAATATTTATTAAGTGGTCTTTTACCAAGAAAAGTGGGCTAACATTGCCTAGTTTAAAAATGTGTGAGGGTATTAATATTTATCAGTGACCGATGTTGTTTTTAGCAAACAGGCTAGAGATTTAAAAAATAAATACTTTCTAACAATTTCCGACACTAAACTGTCTAAACGTTTTAAGCCTTACTTAAACCAGAAAGTACATATTGTGATAGCACACGGTGCAGCATGATGTGATCGCACACGGTAATCGTACTAAATTAGCGCACTGTATAGCGTGTAGATATATGCACGTTACAGAGTGCCGTACACGGTACAGCGTGATGTTATAGCACACGGTACAACGTGATGTTATAGCACACGGTACAACGTGATGTGATAGCACACGGTACAACGTGATGTGATAGCACACGATACAACGTGATGGGATAGCACACGGTACAACGTGATCTTATAGCACACGGTACAACGTGATCTGATAGCACACGGTACAACGTGATCTTATAGCACACGGTACAACGTGACCTTATAGCACACGGTACATTGTACTATATGTTTTCGCACTGTATAGCGTGTAGAGATACGCACGATACAGAGTGCCGTAAACGGTACAACGTGATGTGACAGCACACCGCGCTGTGATAGCACACCGTACATTGTGCTATATTAGCACACGGTGTAACGTACAGTGATAGTGCACGGTGCATCTTGCTTTACATGTAAATTACACGGTACATCACTGCTTAGCATGGTGCTTTACACGGTACATAATGCTTTACACGGTACATCGTGCTTTACACTGTACATCGTGCTTTACACGGTACTGAATGCAGTGATAGCCCACGGTACATTGTGCTGTATTAGCGCACGGTAAGGCTTGGTGTATTAGTACACGGCACAGAGTGCTGATGTAGCACACCTTACATTGTGCTATATTAACTCACGGTACAGCGTGCAGTACACGGGACTGAATGCAGTGACAGCACACGAAATCAGTTTCAACATTTCAACTGTTTTTTTTAAATCTCTATTTTTCTATACAAATAAGATCTAAGCCTATTTTATTACTATTATTGTGACAGCGAATAAGTTATTTTGGTGTGCAGGGATATCTCAAAAGACCTATTTCAGTTAATTTTTTGATGTCCTTAAATTTTCTTAGAACTTGTCGTATTTTCGCTCCTCCTTTGAAATTACTATTTTCGCTCCTCCTTTGAAATTACTTTTAAAGCTTTAGATTAACTCATCCTACTCCCCTGAAATATTACTACAACCAACCACATCCAAGATATTTAAAAATTAACTGCTAATTACAAATGTAGACCCCAGTAGGTTACGCAACAAATTATATACGAATGACGTGGAAGGTTCGTGTGGGACTAAATACTTATACAGTTCTACAATCAGAAAGTATGGGCAGGTATTTGTGTCGTGGTTAAACAATAGCACGTCCGTGTGTAAAGCCGGCGTGTCCCGCCTCGGCGTGTAGATAATGCCTTTTAGCCAGAACTTGAGATTTTAATTTGCGATAGTAGAGGGTGCCGCTGTAAACGATGTGAAAGGTGTGTGTTGGGGGGGGGGGGGGGAGGGGGTGACGAAGATCTTCTTTTTTAAATAGCCCCGCACGTTAACTATAAACATGATCCTAGCTTTGACCCTAACCCTAAGCGACGCCAACAGGAAAAGAAAATCCCACACGATACTTAATAGCTTTTTCCGGCGTTCACGGACTATCCTTAAAAAAAAAAAAACAATTCGCGATTGGCTCAAATGATTCTTCGTGGTAGTAGTGCTGTTCCGTATCTCACTTTCTTGGATTGTTCAGGAATGTTCTTCTTCACTGATCAGCCCTTGTGTCGCGCCAGTTCCATTTCGTGATTTCGTCGATCAGTTTTGTGTCTGTCGTGTTAGCTACCTGTTTCATTGCTTGTGCCTCCTCTAGTACGGAGTCTTGAGGAATGTTCTTCTGGAGTTTTCTGGATCCTTAAGTTTTGCACCTGTTTTTTTTCATCCCAGGAAATAAATGTGTGACGCGTGGATTACCTGGCTAATCAGATGGACGGTGGCGATTCCTAGGATCTAGCTCACTATTTTTTCCTTATGGACACTCACGGGGATTATTCACCGTTGGACAGGTCGAGATTACTAGCCTCTGGCCTGGATAATGGCGCCGGCGGGAGCGGGGGGAGCAACGGCCCGGGCGGTGGCAGCGTGCACCCCACGGTCAGCGAGCTGGCCGGTCGCGCCGCCACCCCCACGGCGGCCCTCAGCACCCTCGCTGCCCAGTATCACAGCAGATTTGGATTACCTCCTGCCATGCCTGGTAAGTTGTGTTTTTTTTTAAAGACAAGTAGTATCTATGTCGTGTCAAACCGAAATTGGATTAACGTAATTAGATCTATAGCTCAAGGCCTAAGATAGTGTCCGTACGCACCTATCAATATCCAAACTTCATGATATCTATATCTCATGTCAGAACCTTACAATATCCATTCCTTAAAATATCAAGATGTCATGATATCCATACCTCACCGTATCCATACCTCACAAAATCAGAACATCACGATATCCATACCTCACAAAATCAATAGGCTTCTTTACAATATCAATACCTCACAAAATCAATAGGCCTACTTTGCAATATCCATGCCTAATAAGTACCTTACAATATCCATACCTCACAAAATCAGAACATCATGATATCCATACCTCACAAAATCAATAGACCTACTTTACAATATCCATACCTCACAAAATCAATAGGCCTACTTTACAATATCCATGCCTAATAATATGAGCACCTTACAATATCCATACCTTACAATATCCAAACTCATAATATCAGTAACAATATCCATACCTTAAATTATCCAAACATTACGATATCCATACCTTACACTTTACAGTATCAGTCCTTTAAGTTACATACAATATCCATACCCCCTAACCGATTCCTAAGAGATTAGCCCCGTTTCTCTGTCTCAGACAGCAGGAAATCCCTCGTTCTAAGATATCATACTTTAACCAATTTATTATTTTAGCTTCTAAGTCAATTTGCGTAGAAAGCGTTTTATAGGCCTACAACGAATGTTGGTGCTAAATTAGTTCAACTCTTTTACGGCGACACGTAATTGGCTCGTATCTTACCAACATAGCTATAAATGTAAGGGTTATTCGAGGAAGGGGTATCTGAGCATATTCTAGTAGTGTCCACTTAACATGCCCACTATGGTCCCGCTGCCAGTTGTTTTATTCTACCAGGGATTAGCTCCCCTGACTATACGAGTTTTCACACTGCACATTGTATTGATTTTTTGTTTCGTTAGATGCGGCTGCAAGTTTTTTATGGTTTCTTATTCTTGGCGCCGGGGATAGGAGGGGTGGGGGATTGATGGGCAGGGGCTGTGTCTAGGTATCCGTTTTTATACCACTGCTTCTATTAAGTGCGTGTCCTTTTTTTTTTCTTAAAATTTTTTTGAAATGTAGTTATTTCCGACGTTGTTTAGTTCGTTAAAATCTTTCACAATAAGCTCTGTGCATTTGTTGGCGTTTAAAAACTGGTTGTTTAAAAACAATAAATGTTGAAGTTTTTGTCTTAAATTTATTTTAGCTAAATTATACTTATGTTTATAGTCTTTTTAAAGACCTCGACAGTCGACACTTTTAGTTGATATATTTAATACTTTTTTTTAACTTTATAATCTTTAGCAGCTGAATATATACTATGAACATATTTCACAATCCACTAGTTTATGGAGGTGTGACCTTTGACAATTACCAAAGAAGAATTTGACGTAATGCCCCGTAATGAGTATTTAAAAAAACAACAACACAGCATTAATTCCGGTAGAGTCACAGCTATGGACCAACACCCTGACTATAATTACTGCCAGTGTAGTTCATCGATCTATTACTCTCCCCTGGCGTTGATAAATGCCACACCCCTCTTTGTTTCTCATCTCTGAGAGGGGAAATGAGAAGACAGACACGATGAGCCGGTTCCTTTCATGTGTGCACAAATAGTTTTTGTCAATAACTTTTTAAAACAAGAGGCGTTGTGTCACATCTTTCTATTCGAGTGGTGGTTTTTTTTATGGTGATACTCTAAACTTAATATGGCTACATGTCGCTCTTGATGATTATGATTTCAAGTTCAAGATTATTTAAATAAAATAATTGTAGCAGTTTTTGTTTGACACAAACAGTTAGGCAGCTTACATTAATTCACATATGTGATATTAGTAATTTGTTGTTCTCTAACTTACATCACAATGGCTTGGCTTATCTAATTAAATACATGAAATTGAATTTAAAAAATAAATATAAATTTAGCATATTTAAATGTACAACACAATGGTGATGATTGTTTTGTTTTTTTTTAAATTTTATTCTGCTAGAAGAGAATAGCGATTTTTTTTTTACTCCCAATGGTATCAGTTGGTGCGACTAGATTATTGGAGGTAGAGCCAGAATTAGAAAGCTATACCCAGTAATATAAAACATTCTATTGACCTAAAAATATAACACATTCCAAACTCTACATGAACTGTGTCGTTCAAAATTTGTCAAACGGGAAAAAACTGACACGCAGGACACTGCTTAAATTAACACCACGCTACCTTTTCTTCAATTTACCAGAGCCGAATCCGGTACCTTACACTTGTCTTGTGTAGTTAATACATGAACATTCTTGCGTAATGCTGTCTTTTCCGCAACTGTCTATTGTCGCGCACGGCTGTCTTGTAGATAAAAGTTCATTCTTGCGTAATATCTTGTACATAACCGTTCATTCTTGCGTAAAGCTATCTTGTACATAACTGTCCATTCTTGCGCAAAGCTATCTTGTATATTACACACGTCTATTCGCACGTAATATTATCTTGTGCATCTGTGTATCTATCTGTATACAACAAAAGTATGTAGATATATGTCTTTTCTCGCATAAGTGTCTATCTCTATAGCTTACAAAGACAATATCAAACTTTTTTAAACCGAACTGCCATCTAGTTTATGTTTCTTTTAATACCTTTTGTTTGAACGGAAGGTAGGCATATTTAACTTAAATTTGTTAGAAATAGCATTTGCAATAAAAATACATCTTTACCAGTCTTTAACTTTAAATACATTTTAGACGTCATAAAAAAACATCAATATTTAAAAGAAGTCATATAAAAATACTATTTTTGTTTAATTTATGTACCGGGGTAGTATAATTAATTATTTCCACGGTTTCTTCGTTTGATTTCGCCTAATAAAACATTTGACACTATTTTAACGCGTTTTATTACAACAAGTTAGAAAAGGTGCTTCACATTTTGTTGACGTTTTCTGCGCTTTGTGTGTTTTGTTTAGTGATGGTCTCATTTTGCGTTTGTCCCGTTTAGCGTTGCTCTCGGTTAGTGTTTACCCCGTTCACTGTTGATCTAGTTCTGTGCTTGTTCCTTTGTTTTTAGTCTGCCGTAATGCTGCTCCCGTTTTTGTTGTAGGCCGGCCCTAGTTAATTTATTCAAAGCTCGCGCAATTCTTTTGCTACAAATCCGCATTATCCCATACTATAGCTGGAGCTTAGTAGTTTCAAGTCCCGTATAGCTTTGGTCTCGTATAGCTTTGGTCCCGTATAGCTTTGGTCCCGTATAGCTTTGGTCCCGTTATACTTGTTGGTCCCGTTTTATGGTTGGTCCCGTGTCGCGTTTGATTGGTGTACTGCTGATTCTGTTGTAGTAGTCTTTATCCAAAGCCAATTCTTTTGCTATAGATCCAAATTATTCTATACTATGCCTGTAGCTTAATATTTTAAAGTCTCGTATAGCTTTGGTCTCGTATAGCTTTGGTCCCGTACAGATTTGATCACGTTATACGTGTTGGTCACATTATCCTTGTTGGTCCCGTTTTATAGTTGGTCCCGTGTCGCGTTGTTCTCGTGTCCTGTTTTCATTGTCTCTATCCAAAGCCTGTCCGAGTTTTTGCTATAGATCCAAAATATCCTATACTATATCTGTAGTTTAATAGTTTAAAAAGTTATTTGGCATAGACACTTGTAGTTATCGTCTAGTTGGCACATTATTTTGAAAGGATTTTTTTCAAAAGACAGCCGTATTACTCAAATAGTTAATTTTACATCGTGTTTCTTTTCTCAGGTACTGTATCTGTATGGTAATTGCTTATTTTATAAAATATTTGGCATGTTGATTTGATTAGGGGAGGATCACGTATCAAAAGTGTACATTTTTACTAGAACAACGATTAAGTATTTATAGTTCGTCGAATTTCTACGATATTTGAGTATATTTTGTTCTCTTTAGAACTACTTCAATTGCTGACCTAATAGTAATAAATAAAATCTACTACTTTTGATTGTATAAAACTCATACTCATCAAACTTCAATAAAAATAGAGAATTTTTAAAATTTCAAGTGATGTTTTGCAATATTTATGAACTATAAACATGTCACTGCGTTCCTTATAATTATAAGTCTATTTTTCCTATAGCGCTTACAAACACTCCGCGAATGCAATAGGATGAAAGAACTTTGGATATAATTTTGCTGCACTGAATAGACCAGTCTGCCGCGCCACTGACAAAAAATTAATCACTGAGGTTTTTTAAGTTCCGCTTTATGCTATTCGTTCCTTAATTTTATTGATTTATTTGAAATTATAATGATAGATGTAATTCAATTGGTACTACTTCTTCCTAGCCTCATAATATTCTACTCACGAGAGAATTAAATTACATTTTTTTTCTGCCTTATGGGGATCATTAGGTCAGAAAACGGAATTTATCTAAGCTATTATTCTTAGTTTTTAATTATTTTTTAAACCGTTTTCAGAAACTTTCATTGAAGTTCGCTGAAAATAACATCAAACAGGGAATGGGAGGGGAGGGGATGGGATGGGGGAGAGTCAGACTTTTATGGCAAAAAAAAATGAGAGAAAAATGTGTACTTTTTGTTAGCATTGTGGTTATTTTAGGGGCAAGTTGGTCGATTATTGAGTACTAATTTTTGAGGCAGAAGGTTCTTGACGACGGGGATAGGGGTGGGGGAGGGGGGGCTGTAATTGTGGACGTTATTTCTGGACAACACCTTAGTTGAGATCATTTCAGTTATTCACACAATGCTTTGAAGTTAACCCTTGAAGTATAATGACCGTCAGATAAATTATTTCCGTGTTAGTTCAGCCCCCCCCCTCCCCACACTCACAGTCACACACAATCATGACCTAGACTTTCTAGTCACCCATGTGTCACATACAACCATGACCTACAGTTACAAGTCGCTCATGTGATTAAAAAAATCAATCTCCGTCTTTATTTACTGTTGC